ACATCTAGGTGCAATGCTGCGAACAAATCTCAGATCTTTGATATGACCTACCTCAACGACTCCACATTATATGTTGTTCTGCAGATTGATTCCATAATATTTATTTTTTGGTTCCTCTTCTCAGAAGGTCTAGAATATTTAGTTTTTTGCCCTAATATTTTATTGTTTCCTGCTTTTACTATGCAGGCAGCAATGGGTACCATGGATTACATCATTGACACAGTGTCTGCAGTTCATGCGCTGGCTCCGTTAATTGGTCTACTGAAGCTGAATGGGAAGCTGGTCACGGTGGGTTTGCCTGAGAAGCCCCTGGAGTTGCCAATCTTTCCCTTAGTTTTGGGTATGCCTATCTGACCACAAACACTTCATTGTTTTGTTTTATAACAACAAATACTGAATTTTTCTATTTAGGAGGAGGATGCATCAATGTGCAACTTTTAACTTATTTCCAGGCTTATAGCTTTTCGTGGGCATTGTGCCTAAGACGATATGATGGGGATATTCTATTCAGGAGAAACACACGAAGTGTTAAATTGCCTGATCAATCCTTGATTTCCAAACAGATATTAACAAATTGCTTATGCTTTCTTTTGGTGGTGTTTATGTTTGTTTGGTGCTTGTCTCCCCCCATCCTAGTAGAATGCAAAGGGCTCTAGAAACATGAACTAATGCTCGAATTCTGTAACATGAGTTCTAGAAACATAATCTAGTGTTCAGTTTTCTTTAATATCCTCTAATCTTGTCATGGCTTTCAGGGCGGAAGCTTGTAGGGGGAAGTGACATAGGAGGGGTGAAAGAGACGCAGGAGATGCTTGACTTTTGTGCCAAGCACAATATTACCTCAGAGATCGAGTTGATTCGAATGGATTACATTAACACCGCGATGGAACGAATTGCCAAATCTGATGTCCGGTATCGGTTTGTGATCGATGTGGGGAACTCCTTGACTCAGTAGATTGGCTGTGATGGCTTTACTGGTAGCTTCACATGCTTTCAGACTCTCATTAAAATAAGTAATGGTTAATTACTGTATTGGTGATAAATTGATCTTCCACCTTAGGGTTTAGGGAGGTTACGTAAGAAACTATTTTTGTGCTGGACACTTTATGGTTGAACCCGTCTAGTTAAATTGGTCTTCCACCTTTTCGGTTGACGTTTATGATGTGAATCAATTTTCACCTACTCTTTGTGCAATTATATTTCTTGTCTCCATTGTTTCGCGGTTTGGTTCCTTGGTGTGATCTGTCCTTTGGTCAAACCAAGCCCCATAGTCTTTGTGACACTGTGTTTGACCAAAACAAGAACAAAGAGAAAGACTTAATGACTCTGTGACTTTAATTTCCCTACTAAATAATATTCAACTCTTGATGGTCCAAAATCAAGAAAAAATTCGTTAAAGTCTCCCTAAACCCTCTTTTGAAAATGTTTTGTACGTGGTTTGAGGGAAAACCTGATCACGTGGGCATTCTGTCTCAATCGGCAATACTCCTCAATCTCAAATTATTCGAAATCAACCCTGCATATTCAAAACAGAGAATAAGCTTAGTCCCCAAAATCGTAAGCTTATTCTTGTTATTTTTAATATGAGTTAAAAGTGTTAGACTCTGTTGTGTGGGAGGACAGATGTTGAAAAATAAGAACAGGTACAGGGAGGGGACACACAATTTGGGGATATTGGATCCACAACCATTTGGGAGGCCTAAGGGGTTAAGTGGTGGTGGGCGCAGGGAGAAGGGATGGTGGGGTTGGGTATTGTTGGGTAGGTGTGGGGAAGTGGGCTGACGATGGAACAGGGGGAACATGGGATATGATTTGAGACTTTCTATTTAAACTCCACACTTCTCTTAGTTCACCCCAATACTTAAATTATTAAGCTGTAAGTTTTATTATTGTGTAAAAAGACAAAAAAGGTCTTCTAACTTAATACTTAACCATAGTACATCTACACACACACTACACACACCCCACACACAACTCTTCAAATTAAGTTTTAAAAAAATACAAACTCTTCTACATCCTATGCCAAATTACTTTTCTCTTTTAAAGACGTAGAACATTGACGAGCCTACCTATTTGAAATATGCGCTGAAGCTGATGGAAAGACTTGTTGATTGTTTCGCTGTAATGATCTTATTCTCTTCCCTTTGTTGATTGCTTTTTTTTTTTTGGTACTCTTTGCTGTTGATTGCTTGATTGTTTTAATTTTTGATTTAAAATTTATACTTAATGTTTTGGTAAAACTGTTCTCTTTCTCTAGAAAGTATGGGGTAACTTGAATTTTTCTTCATATTATATCAATTGACATACACGTTCAAAAGGCACGAAACCAAGAGATTCATGGGAATACTGTTAAGTTGGGTTTTTATTATCCTGCTGAGAAGAGGGAGAGAAGCCCAAGCTTTGATAATGGTCCTACAATTTGCTGGGTGCGTCGTATATCAAAAGACAAGTACTTCTACTTTGGCTATGAGCAATGGATTGCTTTGTCATATCATATAAGTTTTCCAACCTGAAATTTGGTATCTTTCCTTGTTTTAGCTGTGTTATGATATTGATGCAGTTGTGTTTTTTTGGTACAATACATTATATTTGATATTGATGCAGCTGTGTTTTTTTTTTTTTGTGTATTTAAGGGTAGTTTGGGAAGATAGTGGGGTTTACTTAGAAATTGTGAAAATTTAAATTAAAAATTGGGGTGAACTTAGAACATGGGGTGAACTAAGAGAAGTGTGGGGTTTAAATAGAAAATCTCTATGATTTTTTAAAATAGAAAATTATTAAATTTTATACTGAGGTTAATTATTTTTAATTAAATAAACTGACGGAATTTGTTAACTATTGCAAATGCGGTAATGAAATTGGGAAAATAGAAATCCGGTGATCAAATTTGATTTTGAGCGAAAATTCAGTGACCAAAAATGTAATTAACCCTAAACGAAAAGTTTGACATTGCAATATTGCAACAAATGCATAACACTTTAGGTGGTAACATGAGACATACATACATAAGCAAAAAAATTTCTTTATACCAATAACCCTTATTAAAGCGTGAGCCAAAAGACAGAAGTGGGCATGAAATAGAATACAATAAGCCAAACATCTAAGAAGAATAAGAACAAAGCAGACACAAATGAAGTCAAAAACAGAAAAGCAGCACATGTCCTGATCAGGTAGTGAATCCATCAAGAGCAAGTAATTCACCACATGTTGTCATATGTAATGGCTTTGACAAATGCAGCTTCTGAGTTGATGAGAGGAGCTGAGAAATTTTTTTCATTGTTGGACGAGACTGCGGATTGGGATTCAAAGATGCAAATGCTATCTTCACAAGAGACACCACCTCCCCTGCTTCTTGTTTTGTGGGTGAGGAGATGCGTTGATCCAGAACATCCGAAATTGGCATTTCAGGGGCAAGTGATGCAGATGAGGACGACGATGACGCCCCGGATGATAAAGATGAGAAAACATCTCCTGGATGGCTTCCCATAATTATTTCCAGTGTGACAACTCCAAAGCTATAAGCATCGCTCTTCTCATTCACTTTCATTGTATATGCAAGCTCTGCTCAAAAAAAGCACATAGAAGAAATTGTTTCATGTATCAATTATGCACAGGTATAGAGAACAGAGAAATTGTATATGATAATATTACCTGGTGCAATGTAGCCAAATGTGCCTGCAGCGGCAGTCCAATTAGTTGAGTCTGGATTTAAAAACTTAGCAGTGCCAAAGTCTGAAACACAGGCCTCATATTCAGAATCCAACAAAATGTTCTTGCTTGAGATGTCACGATGTACAATCGGTGGCCCCCTGCTTCTTGTTTTGTGGGTGGGGAGATGCGTCGGTCCAGAACATCCGAAATTGGCATTTCAGAGGCAGGTGATTCAGATGAGGACGACGATGACGCCCCGGATGATAAAGATGAGAAAACATCTCTTGGATGGCTTCCCATAATTATTTCCAGTGTGACAACTCCAAAGCTATAAACATCGCACTTCTCATTCACTTCCATTGTATATGCAAGCTCTGCTCAGAAAAAGCACATAGAAGAAATTGTATCATGTATCAATTATGCACAAGTATAGAGAACAGAGAAATTGTATATGATAATATTACCTGGTGCAATGTAGCCAAATGTGCCTGCAGCAGCAGTCCAATTAGTTGAGTCTGGATTTAAAAACTTAGCAGTGCCAAAGTCTGAAACACATGCCTCATATTCAGAATCCAACAAAATGTTCTTGGTTGAGATGTCACGATGTACAATCGTTGGCAAGCAATCGTGGTGCATGTAAGACAAGGCATGAGCTACACCTTTTACAATATTCACCCTTTTGCTCCACCCTAAAGCTTTAGCCTCTTCCTCTTTGCTCAAGATTGCGGCCAAGCTACCTCTTTCAAGATACTCGTACACCAAAAACGAGTGTCGTTTATGTGCACAGAAACCATAGAGCTTCACAATGTTCCGATGTCGTATCTCCGTGAGTGCCCTTACTTCATTTAAGAACTCCTTTTGAAGATTCTTCTCGTCATTTTGCAGCATATGAAGTTTCTTCACAGCCACTACATTGGCAGATGGCAAACTTGCTATGTAGACGCTTCCATGTCCTCCCTTCCCAATGCAATATGTGGGATCAAAATCTTCTGTTGCCCTTATGATTTCCTCATACATTGACTTTCCATCAAAATTTAAAACTGAAAAGGATATTTCTTCATGCATGTTTTTTTGTGCTTTATCCTGATGCTTCTTCTTCCTTTGCACTATTACAAAGGCAATAGTAAAGAAAGCAGATAGAAAAACAATTACTGCTAGAAGTGAGAATAGGAACTTGTGGTCCTTTTTTGAGCCATGTGCATTGCAGGGTGGCAAACCTCTAACTATGCCACACAATCCTTTGTTCCCTTTTAATCCTTCTGGCAAAGCTTCTCGAAATGCACTGATGTTGGGAAGGGGACCTTCCAAGTGATTGTAGGATATGTCCATGTACGACAAGCCGTGCATCTCTTCGAAACTTGATGGTATGGAACCCGAAAGCTTGTTGTGGGATTATGACTTAAATCCAGGTCATTCAATTGAAATAACTTCCCTAACTTAAATGGAATTGTTTGAGCCAACTTGTTGTTGCTCAAATTTAAGTAGTGCAATCTGAACAAGTCACCTATAACGCTCGGAATTGACTCATTGAATTTGTTGGTTGACAAGTCAAGATATTCAAGATCACTTAATGATCCAAATTCTGACGGTATACGACCCGAAAGTTGATTTCCATTCAATATCAACCTCACCAATGAAGACAACTTCTCGAATTCTTTTGGGATCAACCCAACTAAATGATTTGAAGAAAGGTCGAGCACATGAATTTGGGTTGCGTTTCCTATCTCAGGTGGGATGCTACCAGTAAGGTTGTTTCCTGCCATTAGTAGGGTTGTCAACTTTGGGCATTGTCCCCAGTTGTGTGAGATTTCTCCATACAAGTTGTTGTTGCTTATATTCATAAAATCAAGATTCGGATAAACACCAAAGCCTTCAGATATATTTCCTGTCAATTGGTTCTGATCAAGACGGACTCTTATTAAGCTCGTGCAATTTTTCAAGCTTTTAGGGATTGGTCCAGTCAAATAGTTTTTGAATACTGAAAAGTTTGTGAGCTTTCCACCTTGGCAAATATTTGGGGGCAAATAACCAGACAATTGGTTTGTATCCAAGTGCAATTGAGTCAAATTCTTGAGATTCTCTAACTCTTGGGGAATGGAGCCGGAAAGTTGGTTATCTCGTAGATGTAAGATTTCCAAGTTGGTCAGGTTACCAAATGAAGTAGGAATTGAACCATGCAGTTGATTGCCACTCAATCCTAAGTTCACAAGAGATTTAATGTTCCCTATCTCTCTTGGAATCAAACCAGAAAGTTTATTGTCATGTAAGTACAAAGTGTTTAATTTTTTTAAGTTACCAATACTTAGAGGGATGGGACCACTTAAAGTGTTAGAAGACAACTGTAGATCTACAAGAGACTTCAAATTACCTATCTCATTGGGAATAATGCCAGAAAGTTGACTACCAAAGAGATAAAGATAGGTAAGGGTTGAGATATTTGCTAAAAATCTTGGAATTGAGCCTCTGAATTGATTATCACCCAAATTAAGATCCATAAGAGATTTCAAGTTCCCTATCTCTTTAGGAATATAGCCCGAGAGTTTATTGGTATGCAAGTACAAAGTGTTTAATTTTTGTAAGTTACCAATATTTGGAGGGATGTAACCACTTAAAGTGTTGGAGGACAACTGTAGATCTACTAGAGACTTTAAATTACCTATCTCATTGGGAATAGAACCAGCAAGCTGATTCTTATAGAGGTAAAGATAGGTAAGTCTTGTTAGATTGCATAATGATCTTGGAATTGAACCGTTGAGTTTATTCTTATACAAATATAATTTCACAATAGATTTCATGTTGCCTATTTCCTTGGGAATGTCCCCAAAAAATTTATTTTCATGGAGATCGAGAAGGGTAAGATTTCTTAGGAGACCGATTTCTGGTGGGATTCTCCCGGACAATTGATTGAGAGAGAGATCAAGATAGTCGAGTTTGGAGAGGTAACTGATTTGAGGTGGGATGACATCAGAGAGTTTATTCATCTGGAGGTCAAGATATTCAAGATTAGGGAAGGACAAGAATGAAAATTCATGTAGCGTACCTTGAATACCACAAGTGGAAAGGTTTATCTTGTTGACACTTCCAGCTGTGTTGCATGAAACACCGGTCCAAGTGCACGGGATTGTATTTGCTTTTGGATTGGTGGAAGAATTGTTGGCATTATGAGCGGGAGGGTACCAGTTGAGAATATTGAGGGCTTTATTTTGAAATAAGCTGGCTTTCCATTTGAGAAGAGCCTTTGCTTCAGTATCAGCTCCCGGACAATTGATTGAGAGAGAGATCAAGATAGTCGAGTTTGGAGAGGTAACTGATTTGAGTTGGGATGACATCAGAGAGTTTATTCATTTGGAGGTCAAGATATTCAAGATTAGGGAAGGACAAAAATGAAAATTCATGTAGCGTACCTTGAATACCACAAGTGGAAAGGTTTATCTTGTTGACACTTCCAGCTGTATTGCATGAAACACCAGTCCAAGTGCACGGGATTGTATTTGCTTTTGGATTGGTGGAAGAATTGTTGGCATTATGAGGGGGAGGGTACCAGTTGAGAATATTGAGGGCTTTATTTTGAAATAAGCTGGCTTTCCATTTGAGAAGAGCCTTTGCTTCAGTATCAGACAAAGCCAAAGAAAACTCCCACTGACTTACTTCCTCCACTGTGGCTAGAACCGAAAACACATTATACATACAAAACGTTAAACCATGGCATTGGACAATGAAATTATTGTTTTATTTTTTCGTTCCAAGTCTCATGATTTTATTATGTGGCCTATTCTCTTTTCCACAATAAAATCCAAGTCTTCAAAGTTCAAGACTTGGTTTAGGGTCTTTCCATTTTATTTTATTTTTCATTTTCTTAATTGGAAACGGTTTGGGAAGACTTTTGGGGTTTTCACACCCTTGAGTCAGAGTCAGAGTCTCTTTGGAAATTTTGCATTTTGTGTTGGAACTGAATGGGACTGATGGATGTTATTGGTGGATGGTCGTATGCGCTTGACAAAAGGCCAAAGAGACCTGGGAGTGGCTGTCACTTCACCTAGGTCGTTGTGGCCCTACAAAAGAATTCGTTTTACAGAAAGTGGGTTGGATATTTATGCGATTTTATAAATATCTACATTCAAAAAAAAATATTCCAACTATGGAGGATTCCTATGTTTACTTCACATCAATGAATTAAGAAGTAAGTGGGGCCCATACAAAGTTAAGCATTGAATTCCTGATTTTGGAGGAATTCAATTCTTGGGTGAGAGGTGGTATTCTAATTCCTAGAAAACTAACCTATTAGGAATTCATCTTTTTTACCCATTATATCCTCACACAATTTTAAAAATTCCAAATTTATCATTTACTTTAACCCAACAACGAGGACATATTAGTAATTAGAACCACTCCTACCTCAATTCCATATGGTTTAGTAAACAACTTCAATAGAAATCCGGAATCTAACTCCCCTCAATCCATATGGTTTAGTAAACAATTTGAATAGGAATCCGGAATCTAATTTTCCTCAATCCAACTCCGCCTCAATTCAATTCCTCCTAATCCAATTTCGTCTCTTTGGAAATTTTGCATTTTGTGTTGGAACTGAATGGGACTGATGGATGTTATTGGTGGATGGTCGTATGCGCTTGACAAAAGGCCAAAGAGACCTGGGAGTGGCTGTCACTTCACCTAGGTCGTTGTGGCCCTACAAAAGAATTCGTTTTACAGAAAGTGGGTTGGATATTTATGCGATTTTATAAATATCTACATTCAAAAAAAAATATTCCAACTATGGAGGATTCCTATGTTTACTTCACATCAATGAATTAAGAAGTAAGTGGGGCCCATACAAAGTTAAGCATTGAATTCCTGATTTTGGAGGAATTTTTTTGGTGAAAACCAAGGTATCCCCCGCGCGATTGCGGGGACTAACCCTCGAGGTACTGTCGGGCGCAAAGCGGGGAC